TGGTGGGGGGGGGGGGGGGTTACCCAAGACTTCAAAAAATCTATGATCTGTAACATATTTCTTTGTTTAAAAACTGGAACACTCTTACCTGTATGTTGATAAGGGATTTACTCATTTGTTCAAACCTAATTAACCCAAACCCAATTATCACATATAATGCCTTCACTATTATGATCAATAAAAAAGTTAACACAGTAACATACAAAGTACACCTTAGAACAAAAGAAATATGTTTGATGAATTAACATTTACCCAAGACTTCAAAAAATCTATGATCTGTAACATATTTCTTTGGCAGTTTAAAAACTGGAACACTCTTACCTGTATGTTGATAAGCCATCTCTTAATTTCACTGACACCTTTCTCTCCATCTGTAATTTTCCACAAGACCAAGTACAGAGAGCGTCTGGTGAGAAAGTACTGGTGGGTGGCATAGTATTCTTTCTAAAATGCAAATGCAAAGTAAAACGTACAAGTAAAAGCTAAACTTGATGTAGAATTAGTAAAATCATTGATGTTATTCACATTACTTTAACTGGCAAAATAAAGAATCCTCCTTTAAATGAACACACTTCCAAAACTACAGTGTACGGTACCTGTCCACCAAAATCCCATGTTTTGAATGACACTTTCTTTCCATTTCTGTCAATGGTGAGGTCCCCTATATCAACTCCCACAGTTGCCACGAATTCCCCCTTGGCATCTTTGTACATAGATGTCACTCCTGTCCTACTCACCCTTGTGCTCCAGTGCTGAAAAGAGAGATAATAAAATTAAAAGATTGTCATATCTTTAAAAGATCTAAATTTGTTAGATTGGTGAAATTTGTTGAAGCTTGTCTTTTCTTTATCCAACAAAGATCTAAAATATAAAATTATTGGTTATATTTGCAAAAATATTAAACCCCATTCATATGGTAGCTATATCATCACATACCTTTGGTGGTGGCTCTTTTGCAGCAAACACTGGCCTAACCTCATTTCTCAAGCAATTGAGCAAAGTTGTCTTTCCAATCTTCTCAGTGCCAACAAACATTAGTTTCATGCGTGCATATGGTTTGGCACTGAAGGACGAGCATTTTATTAATATTACTTGCAATGTCATTGAGATTAAACATCATGAAATTACAAAATTAGGTAATTTGTCCTGAAAATTGAATATAATAATGGACTTAATATAAAAATCCATTCCTCTGACATGCCAAACACAATGCAGAATTTTCATCTTGACCAATAAGTGACTTAAAGTTTTAATAAACATACTCATCCAAGATGGAGCCAAGGAACCCGATGATGTCTGCAGTTCTGATTTTTTGTTCCACCATAACTTGCAGGGGACCAACTAGTACATTTTCCTTTAAATCTAAGTTCCAAAGTTTCTTGAGACGTCCAAGTTGTGGTGGTAACTGGTAAATTAATAAATGGACAATAAATGTTTTCAAAAAATATTTCTATACCTGTGAGAAAAGTTATTGAAGTAATCTTTGCAAAATCGTTTGAATTAATAAAAAGATAAGTATGTCCAATACCCTCAGACTAAATTATCCTGATTGCATACATACTAACAGTCAACAGGCAGATTGAACAATTCTTCTTTTTTTTTTTTTTTTGATCTTCCAAAAGATTAATGGTTAAGTGATAGCACTTGAAATATTTCATATCACTAACATTTTCATTACAAAGGCCTACCTCTCTGATACTGTTGTGCCTCAGGTTGAGAGCTGTCAGCTGCATCATAGAGGACAAGGACTTGGGCACATCTATGATTTTGTTGGAACTCAGGTCAAGTTGACTTAGGTTGGGAAATTTGGGAATATACCGCACTTTAGGGGCTTCCTGAGAGGTTGGCTGCAATTGATAAGAATACAAATGAAAAGTAGAGTTAATCAAATGACACATGTATCCAATATGTACAAGGCAATAAGGCAATAGATGGTTTTCGGCTTAAACAATAACCAAGAAACCCTCTTCCCCAGAGCTTTAATTTTTCTTTTCTATATATTAACACATTAAAAAGTTGGTGGCTTACAGTAGAATTTTTATCTAACACCCAAAAAATGTTTAAACATTTTAAAATAGTTAATTTCAACAGTAGAGTGATGAGTTCTGTAGAGTGTACTGTACACAAACTTAAAATTATAGCCATGCATCTTATATTCTCAGTATCTATGCAATCACAAAAATAAGATGTGAGCAGAGATGTGACGATAACTGAACCAAAAGAAATACCATCAATTATATTGAACCTATTAGGTGGACAAAAAATAACTGCAATGTTTTAATATAAACACTGTATGTATTATTAAATTATCATTAAAATGATAATACTGTCAACAACACAAACCTGTCCTTCACTGTCAGCTTCTTGATTTTCCTCTTTTTCAGCCACCAAAGTAACCTTAGATATGAAGTTTCCAGCAAGAATAAGTGTCTTAAGAGAGTCCAGCTTGTCATGTCTCTGGTGAATACAGTAGTTGGAATTGCTTATAGTGCTCACTGTAGAAGCTGCACGGGCCCGGTTCTTTGATATTCCCCTGAAAAAATTAAAGTATACACAACACATATTAGTATTAAGATCAAAATATGCCACTTTACAAATTAGCCTGAAAAAATAAGTAGAATATACATCAATATCAATTACTTCCATAAAAATAAATACCATCCAAGCATATATTACAATTTTCTGCCAAATTGCTTTACTTACAAAGACTGTCCTGGTCTGCTGTAACATTCAGACATGTCTGACATTGGGGTGGTTTCTTCTTTCTCCTGAATCTTTGCTATATGATTGTTAGACATATCCAGCCATCGTAAAGTTGCAGGAAACTGTCCTGGTGGGGCCATTTCTCTGATTTGGTTCCGAGATAAATTCAACTTTTGAAGAGCTGGTGCTAGACAAGGTAAAACTTCAGGGCACTTTGCAAAAAGGTTACCTGAAAGGTTCAAATCCCTTAATTGAGAATTCTTTCTGGACCTGGAGTCAGTGATGTCCTCAATATCATCAAAGTGCACAGTTGTAGACCAGAGGTTGGAATGGTTGACATGAATCTCTTTGTACCACTTCTTCTCTCCATTTTCCTCTTCAGGAGCAGTGGTTTCTGAAATATCAACATCCATCTGGTGTCCAGCATCTACTGCAAAACTTTCTACATATGTGGAACTACTCATGTCCTCAGGCACCTTCCTGGGTAAACTTTTCAATTTGTTGTGGGCCAGATTCAGTTCACTTAGCTTGGGGGCACTCCATATCTCCACTGGAAGGTTTTCTAGGTTGTTGTAAGCCACATCCAATTTGGTTAATTCTGGCAATGAAAATAGTTGTACAGGTAACTCAACTAAATTATTGTTATGCAAATGGATTTCACACAGATGAGGACACTGCCAAGGTTCTTGAAGTGGCTTGGAGACTATGGTGGACACAAGTTTACTCAATCTGTTGTGTGAGACATTGAGGATTCTCAGAGACTGGAGTTGGAATATCACAGGTGGCAGGGAGTCAAGATCGTTCTTAGAAACATCAATTCTGCTGATAGCAAATAATGCCACTTGTTTCTGGGTGAAGGTCAGGCGTGGATTGTGGAAATATGATGTGCTGAGCAACCAGGTTTCTTTGATTTCTCTAATGATCTCCAAATCATGCCAATCTATTGCCACAGACACATTGGGAATGCTGACACTGGACTGAGAGTCCATGCTGCGATAATACAACAAATCACTGTCTTCTTTGCAAACAAACTGCATTGCTGCCAGTTTGTTAACATGGTATTCTGTGTCTGGATGACTTCGATGTTTCAGCAATGCAGACACCATTTTGTCTTGATTTGAAATGATGTTGGAAAAGAGAGCTTTGTTGTCAAAGTCTTGGGCACCATGTTTAAGAAGAAGGTCCAGCACACGAATATTAACATTCTCAGAAGCAAGAATTAAAGCTGTGAGTTTTTCATCATTTTTGGTTTGAATATTGATATCTGCACCTGCTGCTAGCAATAAGCTGATGATATCATATGAACCATTCCTGACTGCACAATGCAATGCACATTCACCATTTTTATTGAAGATATCAAGTATCACTGGACAGAATTCTTCTTCCACTGTCTCATCATCGCCTGCACCTTCTTGTGATCCAGTCAAATCTTCTTCTCTCATAGTGCCATCACTTCCGAAGATTCCACTGCTGTCACTTCTTGTCCTAGTGTAGTACTTAACTCTATACTTCAGCAGCTTCTGCACAGTTTTAAAATGCTTGTTATTTGTGGCCACGTAAAGAGGAGTTTGCTGCTGCAGATCATTGGCATTGATATTAAAGGCTGCTTTGTAGACCTTGTCACCAGCTTCCATTTCTACCAAACAGTCCTCAGGATAATTAAAATGTAAAAGGAGTGACACCAAAGTGGCACTGCCTACTTCTGAAGCCTTGTGAATGGGCAATGAACCATCACTTGAAGGTACACCTACTAGACTGGGGAAGTGCTGAAAAAAAATTACATTTTAGTTAATATATCGAAACTTAATTATCTGTTAGGTCATACAAAGAATGGTCACTCTATGACAGACAAAAAATGATGGACTGGTTAATGAGAGTAACTGACCCTAACTATGATAAAATTTTTTTTATCATGCCTGTTCTTTTTTTCACAGGAAAAAACACACTGGGCATTGGTTTGGCATGTAGGAGAAATTTACAACTGACTCCCAAAAAACTCTCAATGCTGTTATTTTTATGCTCAAAAATGGAATTAATGGCATATCATTCATAATATAATTTGACTGTATCATATACTTATATTTTATACGTAAGTTTATACCTCTAACAAAAGTTTAGCAATATCCCTGCTCCCAATTTGACATGCAGCATGGAGAGGAGTGGCTCTTGCAACGGGGTCAAGTTCAGCTTCAGCACCATGGGATAGCATTAGTTCTACCATCTGAGGATTGCCACTCATGCATGCACTAAAATGCATAGTAAAATTAGCAAAAATACAACACACACTAAAACATAAATTACAATACAAATCAAAACACAAAATTAATTTAAAAAAAAAGAGGGATCACATTGTCATTTTTTATTAACTTGGACTTGGTATTGTCACTATATAAAATTATCTGTAAATATGATTTCTTTTTATCTACAGTAAACAGTGATAAAGAATTGGAGAATCACTGAACCCATTTTTTCAAATGGTCAAGTGGATAAAATTAATTTTCAAAATAGGAATAAATTCTTTATATTTATAAAATAGTAATAAATATTAAAAAGGTAAAATATGTCATTAATCAAGAGCAAAGGAAGGCAGTGACTTGAAGATCACAATAATAATAATTATTATATATATATATATATATATATATATATATATATATATATATATATATATATATATATATATATATATATATATATATATTTTTTTTTTTTTTTTTTTTTTTTTGTAGTCTTTTAAGTGGGAGTTGGCATCAAGTTCATTCTGACAGAGCCTGATGGTGAATTCTTTAAAATTACCTGTATAACAGAGTATGAGAATCAGGTGTGCTGAACCTTTGAAATGATTTAAGATTTTCACCCAGCTTATTCAAAATCTCATTTGTTTTATTCACATCTCCATCTTGGCAATACTTCAGCAAAGCTATGAAAAAATAATATGTCAATTTAAAATTTAATTTCAGAAAATATCTTTAACCCTCTTCTGTTCATCTGTATGATAATGATAATGAACCCAAGATATCAGCAAAACGACTTAAATATTTCTTATGTTCATTTAGTGTTAAGACATCAAATAATTTATATAAGCCTTGACAGACAAATGTGTTATTTTAATCACTGAAGTGATGGACCTTTAAATTCAACATACTCTGAAATTCCTCCTGTTTTCTCTCTCTTCTTCTTTCTACCATGAAAAAATAAATGTTGGGGCATGTATTTACTGTGTACTTCTGGTGCAAGAAATAATAGCTACAAACTAGATTACATCATTACCTTTTGACAGGAAAAAATATATTCAGCATATCAGATTTAAATAAATAACCCATTTTAAAGAGGAATTTGCTCATATACAAATTGACATAAAAAAACATGTCAGCGCTTTACAATACCTGCTTCCAGATTCAGCAGCTGGATACATTCTGTATTGTTATTGACATGAGCCAAAGAAAGAGGCGTGTCACCACTGGCATCTTCCTTCTCAATGTCCGCTCCATGTTCTAGCAGGATCCTCAGGAAATCTGTTTTTCCATCAAGGGCGGCTTGGTGGAGAGGAGTCTAATAAAAACATTTTGGTTCCACATTTTGAAATATATTTCTTAAAATATTCACCAGTTTAAAGATTCAAATATTGTGTCAACAGTCAATGAATCTTTTCAATTTTGTGATTTACATAACTTACCATACAGCCAAATTTTTCACTGCATGCTATGTTTGGATCAGCTAAAAAAAAAAGGAATGGCACTATGAAATTCGCCTAACACTTGTTTTTCAGTTACTGTAACTGATAAAAATGTTCATAATACTGCACATAGTTTCTAGAATAAGTTGCTAATTTCAAAATAATTATCTGCTAAATATGGCTTATCTCATTTGTAATATCTACATGATCAGTGGATGATGACATAGTGAATGATTAACCAGAGATTTGACCAAACATGAGCAACAACTAGCATCTTAAAAAGGGAAATTTCATTTGTTGTAGGACTACATTTATGTGCAAGCTAAAGGCACATTTTTCAATGTTTCTTTGTAGTCTTTAATGTAATCAGTTTAATTTATGTGGATTTTATCATTTTAGATCAAGGCATCAAATCTCTTTGTAGCATCAGTCAAATAGATTAAAAACATCTACTGGTACATGCTGTTGTAAATAATTAATCTTTCAATAACTTTGGTTGTTGAGAATAGTAAGAAATAAAAAATATATCTAAATATTTTTAAAAGAGAAGAAAAAAGCACAAACCAACCTCCTCTTTCTATCAGAATTTTGAAACAATTGAAACTGTTATTGGTTACAGCTGTATGAAGAGCAGTTCTACCAAAGTTGTCCTGGATGTTAATATGCTGGGCTTCTTCACCTTGAAGCAGGCAGTTCATAAGGTCTGAGTTATCATATATGGCAGCTTGGCTCAACATGCGGCCAGGACTATCAAAATCTGGGGTACCATCCCCTTGGTTATTTGCCATCATTTTGACCACTTTGCTGGAAACTAAATTAGAAATAAGGTTCATCAAATTATGTCTAATCTACTCTCACTTAAAATTTCACCTTCAAAAATACTAGTTCACAGGTATATCTATATATGAAATGCATTTCAATGCCTATTTGTATAAAAAACATGGAATAACTTGAAAATATATACAACTATGTCCAGGTGCAAACACTGGACAATAAAATATTTTCGGACATTTATGTGAGCAATTTCAGCCAGCTTAAAATAGCCACTCTTTAATCTTTCCTCTGTTCTTTTTATTGCGGCATTCTTACATCCTAAAAAAATCGCACATGGTAAGCAGCCAAAATCTTTCTTTTTATTTTCTTTTTTACAAACAAAAGACAACTTCCAAGTTACAATGCACATTGTACTAGTATCAACTCTGGTAACTTTATCATCTAAGAAACTGATATCTCATGGCATGAATTAACAAAATTTTAGTGACTTCTAATCTGCAACTTTCACTTTCCTCCTTCACGCAAAAATAAAATCAATGAAAATGAAAAAGCCAATCGACTCACCTCCAACTTTCAAGTTACATGCCAAAACTTTACAACATCATATCTCACTGGTTTTAACCTAAAATGATTGACGATCACTTCCACTTGGGTAGTGCTGTGTTGAAGTGCTTCATCTTACTTTTACACAGTAATCAAAATTTCCCACTCAACCGCAAGTCTTACACTGCAGTTCGAGTAGTACGAGTCAGCTGCTAACCCGGAAGTCTTCTGCATTGGTCAAAATTTGTAGGTAGCGCTACAAGCAAGACATCCCGCAGTCTACTTAATACCAAAATTTCTTCATCAGTTGAGAATTAATAGAAAAGAATTTACTCATCTGCTTCTACATTTTATTTTCATTTATTTACATTTGTGCACATGGCATTAAGAAGCGTTAGCAATGTATTTATTTCATGCTTTTTTTTCTAGGAGTGGGTCACAGTGGGCTCTCAGATTCATTTTTAAAACACGGAAAAACGTGGAGCAAAAAATTCGTGCTTCGGAGTAAAAAAGGTTTGGACAATAATAATGTTGGATGAGAAGTCTTTCGTATAACATTGGCGGTGCTTTTAATGCAGAACTATAAACAGAACTATAAGGTGGTCTGGTTTTCAACTTTGGTGCAACCACTTATTGTAAGAAATTATGACTTAAAAAAAAAATACAGTATCCGTAAAATTCACAATTTTCCCCCATTGCAAAGATCGAGTCACTACCATAAAGTTCAAACAGGTGAGAGAACTCCTCCCAACTTCCAATCCCCTTCCTCTTTTCAGATATTGAACAAAGGAAGAAACTGGTACCCCAGAAAAAAAAAATGGAAAAAAAAATTAATGTCTCATCAATTTGAAAATTTCACAATGGCATGACTCAAATAAGCAGTCTGATATGCTGAAGGAAAATAAAGAGAAAATGAAAACAAAAATATGAAAATAAAAAAAAAATCTTTCACACTCACTTGTATAAAGTCAGATAGTACTTTTCCACTGAAAAAAGGTTCTTGTATCTGAACATCCCATAAAATTAATTGTATCTAATTTTATCCCTAATAGAAAGTTTCTCTTTACAATAATGTTTTATGAAAGTGAAAGTTCATTGCTCTGCGAAAATTCTCAATACTCACTTATGGTTTTCAATCTGTTCTAGAACATATATTTTTCTCTTTTATTGAAAAATGTTCTTAATCTTTTCTAAGATATTCTGAAGGACTTCCCCAAAACGGTTCTTGAACTGTTACATTCAGTACAGAACATTAGAACTGTAAAAAAATATACACCAAATGTTCCAGGACAGATTCAAAACCGTAAGTGAATGTTAAATGAGAGAAATTTTCAGAGGAGTTCCTCCGATAATATCCTTCTTCACTCTTGTTTGTTTTCAAGGTCACATTGGTGTAGATGGCATGACTTGAAAATACCCTATTTTGACCATAAAATTAACTCAGATGGTTTTCCTCTGAGAATATTATAAAAATCTGCAAATTAGATGGCTAATCTGTGTAGTATGAAAATGCAAATAAATTCACTGTGACCTAATGCAGGTATGCTTACTTTTTTGGTAATGTAAATAACTCAAGCTTCTAAAGAAGTCCATGGATAATGAGCAGCAACAATTGGAATGCATTCATACATGACCTGAAATTGCATTAAATCATGCAATTTGCTTTTTACAGTTCTTCTTGATCTGTGCTATAATGTACAATAATGATTTTCAGAAATTGAATCTATTCTACCTTAGTTAAATTGTAGCTTTAGTAGTAAGGATCTAGTTACATTCTAATTCAATGAAACAATGGCCATGCCTACTCGACATGTTGATCAAACCTTTGTTTTGTTATATGTTATGTCGTTAATGAATTTACTAAGCAAAGCTAGAGCATTTCATCACTGTGTCACATTTCTTAAAAATAAGTTGTGTTTAGCTCTTCTAAATATATGACGGCATATAACAGATCAAGTAATTTATAATATGCTACACTTGGCCCTTGCTTCTGTAATCATAATTCATGTATTTTGTATAATTTTTCACCTTTCAATGAGTCACAGAAATGCCGCTGTTGCTGCAAGTTTGCAGATGTTTTACCCCTTGAAAGAAAATGGTTTTATATCATTCCAGTTTAAATGTTCCCATTTTAATGTGTTGTCTTTGATTTTTGTATATATCATAATCCTTATAAAAAAGAAATAAATAACATCTGAATACAGAAATTATTTATCAAATTTTCCATTACACATTTTACATATTCAAAACAGATAAACAAATTATAAAATACACTTATTTTAAAACCAGACAACTTGACCAATACAGTGCAATGGAGATGTATCAACAATTTGTCCTCACAAAAAGGAATCATTACAGCTTTGCTTCCAACCACTTCCAGGATCACAATTTAATACGGATGACATGTGTTACTTTGTTGGTTAGTCTGAGATGGAATGTTAAGTCTAATTTCAAAGTTTTCATTGTTCACTTGCAATTTCACACCGTGTTCTGCTCAAAGTATAAACGTTGTTCTGCACATCTTTACAACCAACTTATTATATATATATATATATATATATATAACAATGATGGCAGACAATGCACCATAGACCTTTGTAGGCATAAAATTAATTTTTCTGAAAATCAATAAACCTATTTGTTGTGTTCTATATTGATCAATTTCACCAGTCCCCATAATATGTTACAAGCTTGATGCAAAAACTTGGAACTGAAAAATGGGTTTGTGTATTGCATTTCTTTTGCTGCTTTGGATATGGAAAACCTTGGTGATTAGGGGAAAACTGTTGAAATTTCTGGCAAAATTAATTTTCTGCTATACTTAAATGTAAAAGCCATCTAACACTCATTTAACATGCATTTGTGTCTTTTAGAAAACTTCACCAAAGAAAATAGTTAACATGATAATGAGTCACTGCTGGATTAAAAAAAAAACACCCCATTGATTTCATCAGTTTTTTTCCTTTTTTCTCAATCTTCTCCTACTGGTACTGCATCCTCTAATCGCCTTATAAATTTTACTCTTATTTCAGTTGTGTTATCTCCTTTGAGCTGATCTTGTACAAACCATACATTAACTTCCATTTGAACCTGAAAAGAATTAAGTCCATGCAGTGCACAAATATTATAATAATATGAGTTTGCTGATATATATTCATGTGGCAGTCAATCACAATATCAAAATGCATAGTATAGGTGCATTTTGAGTGTGCCAAACATATTTTTATGTACTTCTACAACTAATTTATAGATTTAAAAAAACAGTGTAGGAATTTACCATTTCCAAAGCACCTCTCAGCACCCCACAGAGTATTGAAGAATATTCTAAATTGCTTTGGCCTTCTGGTAGCTCCACAAAATCTGTTAACGGGTTATTATCTAACAGTAAGGAGAATTCATCACCAGAAGGACTCCAGTTGGACACTGTTGGAACAATGCCTAAGAACATCTTGAAACCAACCTAATGAAATAAAATATGTATCACTATAAAATCATTTAAAAACAATTTTGTAATTATAGCATAACTGTTCCACAAAATTGTTTTACAAATGGTCAGTTGCAGGAAACATGAAAATATGTCAATACCTCAAGTTTCACAAGCTTCACTTACTTTTGCAATAACATCAGCTGTTTCTCTTAAATCATGGCACCTGCCAACATTTGATCTTGCTAGAAAATCCTCTATTAACCTAATACCCATGTTATACCCTCTGGAAGTAAAGAAAAATTTCTTTCCAAACATACATAAACCTAAGACAATAAATCTTAAAATATCTATCCCAAAATAAAACAACTGTAATTAATTTATAGAATCATGTCAAAGCAATCTAAGCCAGGACAGGATTTTGAATGCATTCTAGGTGCATGAATCAATTCTTCTTGATCTTATATGAGGACAATTAAAACTTTTAAAGCATATATTGACAGATAGCCTCAATCAATACTGCAAAAAAAATCATATTCACTGACCACTATCCAACCTTGGTAGCATGCCATATTGACTCAGTTTGAAATAGCTCAGGTCACAGTATGCAGTACAAATTCAGAAACTGAGTCATTGCATCGAGTCTTTTAGAAAACTTGCATTGAAGGCTTTGAACTTTTTCTTTTTCCAATATTGTTGTAAACAGAGTTATGGCAAGTGTCAAAAAAAGGAAGATTAAAGATTGGTAAGCAGGGGGCAGGGAATATGCCATTTATCCTGGAAAAAATTAGTTAAATATGAGACCTTGGAAGGAAAATCCTGGCTTGGAAGGCTGTTACAGAGACTATAGTGTGCTATTTTTGATACCAATACATGAAATAGCGTGTGTGTATTTTGCAATTAATTTTATCTAAAAACTAATAAATGATAAATTTCTTTTTCTTTTTTCAGCTTACTCACAATTTGTCTAGTTGTTTGTTTACTTCATCAACATTTTCGTAGTCTTTCACCAGCTGACTCACAAGAGCCCCATAGGTAAGCGTGAATAACTCAGCACTCTAGAAAAAATGAATTTGAAATTAAAAAATGTTTGTTCAACCCCTTACTAATGGTGTATTAGATTGGGGTTCAGAAGTTTGCTGGCCTTTGTTCAAATTATTTCAGAGAGTTTGAGGTGGAATAGGTGCCTCGACAAAAGCAACAAAACCTTTGGTTTTCTATTATCAAGGGGTGGTACTTGTATGGTGTACAGTACAACGTTGTTTCATTCTTTTCTCAAATCAACCAGGTTTATAACTTAAGTGCTGTCAGTCTATTCACCATATTTGCACAGAATATATCTTAAAGCCCACAGTTTATTTTCTATTATTAGAAAACTTACTACTTTGCGCGGATCACCGCTTCTCACTGTTTGTCTGGACATTTCTTCCAGTCACTTGTACTTCTTTTGATATCAACTTTCACGCTGTTGTCGTCGGAAGTGAATTTTCGCGCATGCCAAATTTTAACTTCCTACAGAGTCCATTCAACTTCCGACAACAACGTGTGTTGCTGATGGAAATTGCAGTTGTTTCCAGGTTGCACTACCTAAAATGACTGACTACAAAGAAGAACAAGATAACGAGATTGAAGCTCTAGAATCTATTTATCCAGATGAAATTAAAGGTGACGATGATCTGAAACGCCTTGACTTTGCTAGTATAAGTTTAGGCCTAAGTACTATGAGTTTTACTAGTGGAATGACTTGCTCAGCTGATTCACAAACTAACTTCGGCAGTTTGACCATGAATCGGGGTGGCTGCAATGCACAGTCTCATTTATTTTGCAATTTTGTTGAAGTATTGTGAACTTTACACATGAATATCAATAGTTCTTGTCCTACTGTTTTATTATTTTTTATTTTTAGTGCTAAGCACAGAACCTTACACTTTTACTGTTGATATAAACATCACAGACTCGCCAAATGAAAATCATGAAGATGAAAGTGGTGAGTGTTATGATTATTTTATTATATCATATGTATGTGTAACCTTGACTTTAATTTTATAAATGGTATTATGTTTTTCACAAAAATAGTAAAGGTAGGGCACTGTCGTGTACTTATACAGGTGTGTGGCTCAAATTATTGTTCTTTTATAAAATACATTATTTACAATTATGAATTTTCATTTCAGTTTCAATTACAGTCCAATTTACATACACGCCTTCATATCCAGATGAGGGTCCACTGATAGAAATTGTGAATGCAAATAACTTAGATGATCAGGAAACAGACTCATTACTGCAGTTCATGCAGAGTCAGGTATAGTTGCCACCCTGTAATATTATATTCAAGTGGAATGATTTTTGTCAAAATTGCATCAGATATGTTTGAAGAAATTGATCTATGATATGCTTATGTAATATCTTTTTTGTTTTTTTCTAGACTGGCACCTTTTTTCTCTTTTAAGTAAATGACTTTAAGCAAATGTCTTTTGTAAATATTTTTTTAGGTAGAAGAAAATTTAGGAATGGTTATGGTTTTCTCAATAGTATCAGCAACTCAGGAAAAACTTACTGAAATGAGAGAAGAGAGGAAGAAGAGAAAAGAAGAAGAAAGAGAAAGAAAAGCTCGAGAATTAGAAGAATTAGAACAGGTAGATTTAAAAATATTACCCTTGGATTTACTTTCAGCTTTTAGCCAAATAGCTGAAAGATTTGATTCAGATAAGAAATTGACTTAATAACTATGACATTTGGTTAAATTTTTCGCTGTCATAGTACTGAGATCAGCTCCCTGATATGTGTTGAAATAAGGCAGTGATAGTGAAATTTACTTCAGGATGACTGAAAGAAGCCTGGTTTTATGTTTGGCATTACAGCTACATGTTGACTTTAATCCGAATTTTTTTCCAGAAAAAATTTGAAGGCACAAAAGTTACGATAGAAACATTTTTAGCATGGAAGACTGCATTTGATGCAGAGTTGGCAGAAGCTAAACGTAAAGCAGGTTTGCAGCGTGAAGTTTCTAAAAAGTTAACAGGTATGAGTCAGTGTTATTATCCATTGCACAGCTGTATATAACATTTTACAAAATAATATAATAAAAGTAAATGGATGAATAAATGAAAAAGGAAAAAAGAGAGACAAATTGTACAATTTTAATTTATTCCTAAATACATGTAGTAATGTAAAGAAATGTCAATGTATTGTTTCAATAAATATTTAATTTATTTTTAAAAGATATCTTGAATTCTAGGAAGGGAGCTATTTATGAGAGATTCCACAATGGATGATTCAGATATAAAGTTCTTAGAAGGAGAAGGTTTGTTACTTATTAAATACCAAAAGCTTTTGGCATCTATAACAGTCTATGGCCATAATTCATACAGCTACCTAATACATACAAGGTTATTCATTTATAGATCTCCATTAGTGTATGCTTATATGAAAAAGTGAAAATGATGATGCTGGTTCATGTCATGTCTTAGAGTGCATTTCAAGAGATTTAGATTGATCCAGAGATTTAGATTTAGATCGACCTAACTCCCTGGGGGTCACGCTAAATTGCAGTCAGCCAAGCATAGTTTATTACCCCCTTACAGCTTTTAGTAGGCGGGACAGACATTTAAGCCTGTTAAGCTGACACCAATCTAGTGAGACTCCCCAGGGGGATAGATAGATCTAAATATCTATGGGAATGGGGTCTTAGGCTTATGTAAGACATGCATGTAACTGAATAATTAACTGCTTATTATTATTTTTATTATTGTAATTATTATTATTATTATGATAATAATAGTATATTCATTTGTTTATTTTCACTTTTTGCAATGATTAAATTATTTGTTTATCTTATACCTTATTCTTTACAGAGGGAGATGCTGTTGAGGTGGACGAAAGTTTATTTGAAGATTTGGATGACCTGGACATAGATGAGGATGAGGACGTGACGACATAAGCCTGACTGCCTGTGATCACTCAGGTGTTAAAGTGGCACTTGGGTTGTTTGCACAATTTATTTATTTATAAATCCATATTGACTTATGTTTTACATCAGAAAGAAAGAAAAAATGGTGACATTTAGTCTTTTTTCATGATTTAAGCGAATGACACTTCAGTCATGAGTTATGCCAAAAGGGGTCTTTACGGATCACATCCGTAAACTGATTTTTATCGAGCAATTTTTTATAATAAAAACGGTTCTTTATTTGGTCATATTTCAACATATATTGAGATTGGTGTGGATATCTTAACTGCATCCATTGATAATTGTAGTTTTGGTTTAAAGCAGGCATAATGATATATTGTTGGGACCTGTAAGATTGTTTAAACATGCAATTGAATATTTATCTTCATTGAACTCAATTTTCATCTGAAACATAGGAAAGCGTAGAATGATTTCAAAACATTATTATAAACATATATTCATACATGTGATATTATGGTGTATTGAAGATGTTCGAAAAAGGATTATACTGAACCAGTGCATATGTCACCAAAGGCAAAAAAAAGTTAAATAAACGGCTAATTATAGGCCCTTAAAGTGAACTGTTTAACATCTGCTTGAAATTTCAGTAGAAAAGACAAGTACATTGTCACGTTTCACATTTCTTTTAATGTGATACTGTTTATTATGCTTTACTTTTTCTCTCCCCCTTTTTTATGTACAGACACAGATGTGTCTGTACATATTGCCATCACCTGCGTATGAAGGAAATGTGAAAAAT